TGGTAGTGACCTAAATTTGATAATTAGTATGAATACACACAATATAATCTCTGTAACTTTTGCTGCAGGAAATGTATAGCTTGAATTGTACGTTTAAAAAGAATGTGAGAAGATCGACGATGAGAACGTTCAGGTATTATATCATCATATCGTACAAAATGAAGAGAAACATGTCCTTTTATCCTATTTTTATGCTTCCGTTCACAGATTATCACATTACTGTATCGTTAACGAAGCATATGAGCTTCTGATTTGTCATAGAATGTTATGTTATACAATATCAACAAGTGAAGATCGTAAAAATATCAAATTTATCGAACGAGAATCTTCATATGGACAACGACTATGTTTATCAAAGCATATGAGACAAATTTATGGGTTCGATCTTATCGTCCGATAAGCAATTGAATCTTGCCATCATTTATCATTGAATGGTATCCGCGAAAATTAAATATATATATTCGACGTAAGATGCTGATAAGGAGTGTAGATGTGTATTCGTGGTCGTCATCTGTATCTGGACAATGTGCGAGCAGACGTTCGCTTCTGGACAGATGAAAACAAAAGATCAATTATCAAATTGAATTGTTTTTTGAAAAAAAAACGGAACATACATTGAGCATTGAACGTGCTGATACACGCGTTTGCCAATGAGGCGTGAGATGTCTGTTGCTAACTAACGTACGACAAGAAAAGTCATTTATCATAAATGGAACTGTTTTAGCATAAGTTTGTTAATTTGTCGATCAGTGTGTATTGATGACAAATCGTTTTTCGCGAATATTTGCTAGGAATAAAAGGCGGAGTACGACGAAGAAAAAATATTTTATTAAGAAATCTGGCAAGAAAAACAAAGCACACTCAAACACTGTGTACATGGTGGAGATGACGATGATCAATCACTGCCATCAAGAATATTTGAAAACGAAAGTTGATCGACTGTACATAAACGACGGTGATGATCGAAATTATTACGATTGTACGGACTTGATGTTTTGTATACAATTGTTCGGTTTGGTGTGCTAAAGAAAAAGAGAGATAGTTAGACACATAGAAGAACTTTTGTGGATTACAAGTAGATAAATACCTCCATTTCATTGGCCCGATGGAAAATAAATCCTCGCGAGTTGTCATTTCATCAGCAAATAATTGTTGTGGATAACTATAGTGAGACATAGTTGGATAATCGAAGGAATCTTTTGGTGAAGCAAGATATGGTCTTTGTCGAGTGACGGAGATAATATTGGATGCGGTTGACGAAAGAGCTAATGGTGAGCCATATCGATTTACTGGTTGGATTTTTCGGATCAATGCTACTTGCTAAAGGACAAGAAGTGAAATAGACTCTTAGTTGAAAGATTAAAGACCGCTCGGACTTACAAGACATTCCGAGCTGAGGCGTTTGGGTGTTTTTAGATCAACGCTGCGGCGACGTGTACGGTGAACGAGTGGAATTGGTTTTGGAGAATGCGAAACGATGAAAGCTTTCAATGACGATCGACGACGACGACGAGACGTATGTGGAGTACGAGTGCTGGTATTAATAGCGGAATTATTTGGTGAGCATGTTTGCTGTCTTAATTGACTATGGACCAAAACTGTTGCTGTTAATTGCGACGATGTTTGAGAAACATTCAGACTTGTTTGAACCGATTGATCACGTTTGGAAGATTGCGATAGATTAGGCAGGAATTTGTTAGTAAGACGGCCTAATAATGTTTTTCTCTTTCGTGTTATTTTTTCGATACCCATTGGAAATCAATAGAGAAGAATATGTTAGTGAGTAAACGTTTAACGAATTGTAATATATAAGTGAAGAAGAAGGAAGAGAAAGAGAAGAGGAAAGAGAAAGAAATGAACGACCAATCAGAAAAGAGATAACAATATTTTCTTTCCTTTTTCTTTTCTCGTCTCCTGCTTCTGCTATGTTGATGTTACGTCTTAATCCGATGAAAACTAAGTGTTTATCAGAAGCCTGCAGGGTGATTGCCTAGAATAACTGTTTTCGACAGTGGCTGAATAGGAAATCAAAATAATACAGGTGAAGACACGAGGAGAAGATTTTGTTGTTTGTGCAGATCATCGGATAAGATGATAGACTAGCGTCAAGTGTTGTGTGTGCATCGATGGGAGACAGATTGCATCATAGAGCTTTGAGCGTGTCAGATAGATTAATCAAAATATGAGTATGAGTAAATGTGTGAATATATTGGACATGCGATTTAACTTCTTTCTGCTTTTGTTTTCAAGAGTTGATGATCAACTTGATTCGTTTGATCTTGAGCGTGCTTTCGCACAACAATCAACATCGACAGACATATGCTTGAATGTTCGTGAGACTGAGAACGTTTTCAGTTGAATGCTTTAGTGCTCGTCATGTAAACAGAAAATATTCGTCTTGACATTTCCAACTAGTAAACGAAAACAAACTGTACATAGATAATTAATGATCTTGTCGTTTGTATGTACAAGGAAAAACAATGCTACAGTTTGACAAGCCATTTCAATGATGATGATAATGATGATGCTGAAGATGAATGACTTGTTGAGTCGAGTGAAAAGTTTTTGCGTGCTCTTTTGTAACGAGATCTTTGATTCGAATGTCAACGATTTGCATGACTATCGACAAAATGTGAAAAGAATTCGTTTTGTTTTGCTTTGATTGAACTCTCTCGGTCTTGTTCACACCTTTTTGACATATCATCAACAGCGTGTATGAAACGTCTATTGACAATGATAGACTTGTCGATGAAAAAAACAACTCCTTAACTATTCGATGATATCCCTTAAGACAAATAAGATCGATAACCTGTTGAGCATATCACTTCGTTAAGAAAATAGTCAACGAACTAATGATCGCTTGCCAGCAGGAGGCAAGTATTTGGCTGCCTTCTGCTTTGGCGGACACTACTCCGTAGGGTATATTTAATTGTTGTTGACTCATCAACGCGTGCCAAGCCTATTTAAATTCTTATCAGTACACTTGCGTAAGCATAAAAAGACATTCTTCGTTGATTCTCTTTTGACTTCTTTAATTGAATATGAAATGAAAACAACGAACTACTTTTTTTTTGTTTCTTCTCTCGTTTCTGTTCGCTTATTGATTAGCCGTTTTTCGAATGTGGTCAGTTCATTCTTTAGGTGATGGGAATGTGAAAGATAATTATGAGCGAGCTTTTCAATCGAACGAATGATGCCAATAATTCACGTGCCATTTACGTTATGTGCTAGAAAAACATTGACACACTAGGATATGAACTATGCACGATTGTCAACCTGGAAATAGATGATTAGATCACCGGGATGTCAATCGCTTAATTTCACTCAATTTATTTACGTTATGAATGTCTAGATTTAACTCGTGCCTCGTATCACCTTCGCAAAATAATTATCTGACTGTTATGGTGGGAAAATTATGTTATTAAAGAGATTGACTTTGCTTTTGTGAACAACATGACATAGTTTTGATTTGATTGAATGAAAAGATTTTGACACGAGCATGCTCTGTAATTTTCTGAAGATGAGGATGCCGAACTCTTGACGTTCCGAAGAAAAGAGGAAGACAACGGTGAGTAAGTGTGATAATTGCGGCTTGTTACATTTTATGAGCAGATATTTATACAAAGATCAAACAAGACAAGATATTCAATTAAAATCTGATGATTACGTTTAAAGAGAAGTTTTTTATGATTCGATTCATCTTTGAACATCGATAAGCAAAAAAAAACTAGAGAAAGATTCTTTTTTTCTCACAACCCTTCGATATTTCGTCTGCTTGACTTTAACAACAAGGTGAGATGTTCTATTGTCATCATATTGTTCTCTCCTCTTGACCGATGTCCAAAAAAAAAGAAGCCGGTGCAATCACTTGTTTCGTATTTTTCGAGCACTGTTACGGATCATTTTCTAACGGTATCTAATCTCGAGGCGACAACTCATCGAATTAGAAATACTGTGTCAGAAAAAGCATATTTATGTTGTTTGATGATGAGAAGAGGTGGCACATGGAAGAAAGCAAAAGTTCGAACGTGATTTTGTATACACTTCGAACTAATCAAATGCACAAAATGCGATTTTTGATTGAACTGTGTGAAATTCAAACTTATGCAACGAATGACACGTTAGACATGAAACGATACAGTGTTTTTTTCCTATCGACCGTTGAAATAATTTTATTCGCGATGAAACTCGTGTAGTGTCTGTTTTTATATATGAAAATTAGCAATGATGAATTGTTCATGGCATGTCATCCATCATCTTTCGTATTGCTTTTCTTTTCGATAGATTTACAATGGCATTTTCAATGAGCCTCTCACGTAATTTATGCAAAGCGACACGTGCGGCAAACTATCGATCGACTTTGCGTGTCTATCGATGGAGATACTTGTTTGAAGTGGAGAATGGTTTCGTTTTGTTCATCATCATTAATCGTCGATTTACTATTGCCCATTCGTGTTTTCTCTAGAGAATGTTCGTCGACTTTGAAGTGAAATCTTTCCCGTGGATGGACTTTTAATTGATTCTTTTGTGGATTTACAAATGAAAACAAGTCCGATCTCATTTAGAAGTCATAGCAAAACAATTGACTCGTCAGATCAAACAACAATGACTAATTAGCTATGATGATCATTATCAGCTACTGTCTCGAGTAGATATTGTTTCATACAGATAGACGTCGTTGATAACAACTGAATTAACACTTCACTATCAAACTGTAGGAGATTGATTTGTTACGTAACGATATCTGATTTGTGCTTTAGAAAATAATAAAAAGCCTAGAACTTGAAATACTGAAATGGATGTTCAACTGAAATTGAGGTTAGACCATGATCACGTTATATGTGAAAGCTTTCATAATCTGAATTTAATGAAAATGTACTAGTGTTGGTAGATATCTTTATTCTTATAAATTGACATTTCTCAAGTGGTCAGACCACGTGTTTATGTCGAAATCAAAATCAACGTGTCGTATGA